CAAGAGGAGGCACTTTTACCCCTGGGGGTATTATCATTTGGCCATCTTTTACAAGCAAGTCAAAGATCTCATCACATTTTGTGATGTCAAAACTATAAGTCTTTTTGGGGAACCTATCGTTGGTCCTTTCTGGACCAATGGGATTTTTCCCACTTGAGGGGACTAACAGTTTACAAGAGTATGGTGGCCCTTGTTTTAGTTCCGCTAAATCGACTTCTCCTTCTTCGACAGTTATAGTATCGTCGAAGGATTCTGGATCTTCGTCATCCATCTCAACATACGCTATCCTCTCTCTCTTGTGAGTTTTCGTTGCCTTCGCTTTTTCAGCTTTGAGGCGTTCTACCTGTCGAACTCTATCGGCCAGTTGGGCCATGTCTCTCAGGTATTGGGTGTCTAGCTTCTTTCTAATGGAATAATCTAAACCACATGCGGCTATTTCGACCAACTCATGTTCTGGCACTTGTGTAAAACATCTCGCCTTGAGCAACCTAAACCTATTTAGATATTCGTCTATAGGTTCAGTGAAACGTCTCTTTACACTGGCCAATTCTTTCAGGCTTATCTTGGTTTGCCCCATGTAGAATTGTTCATGGAACAATCTTTCCAACTGGGTCCAATGATGGATCGAATTGGGGGAGAGAGTTGTAAACCAAGTAAAAGCGTTCTTTGTTAAAGAACTTGGGAAGTACTTGATCCTCAGATTTTCGTTATTCGAAATGTCACCTGCTTCGATCAAGTATCTCGCCACATGCTCGACAGTAGATTCTGTCGTGTCCCCAGAGAACTTAGTGAATTTGGGGACTTTACATCTAGGAGGTAAGTCTGTTTGTAACACGTATTCTGACAATGGGGACGTAAAGTTGGGCCTTCGAAAGCCCATGTTCATCCCATTTTGAGTCATGATCCTTTCGATCATGGTTGCCAGATTATTTTCCAAACCCATGTTTTGGCATTGGATATGCTGAACTACTTCGTCAGTATTTTGGTTTCTGTTAACTAACCTTACCTCTGGGGTTATTACCCTAGGTTCCTCGGCGGGTTGCTCCAGTCGTGCCCTAAGGTTTTCTTCGACAGGCTGTTGAACCTGGTTGATGGTGGTTTCTTCCTCTAAGAATATCCCCTGGTTTCCCCTTATTTGCGCCCTTTGGGGCTGTCGAATAGGTTGGGGTACTCCAAAGAAATTAGCCAAACGCGGCATTTGCGCTGTCACTTGCTGATTCGATTGAGTAGTGTTTTGTATTAGAGGGTTTAGCACTGTACTCAAAGTTTGTGCCAACATTTGCACCATATCATGGTTGCTTTCGTCCATTTGTTGCCTCAAGACTGCTGTCGAGGCATTTGTAAGGCCATGGGCTACTTGGGACGTTCCTCCTAAGAGTTGGGTCCTATTTCTATTCGCCATGCCTACTCCAGAACCTTGGAGTGGCGAAGAGGCACTCACTAAAGTGTCTGAAAAAGTGGACGCAACATTCGTCAGGCTAGCCAAGTCAGAAGTTGGCATGCCATAGAGTGGCATAAATCCTGGGGGAACAAAAGGCCTTGTGCCTAAATTTCCCCTTGGTGGGGGAGTTCCCAAAGGCGCTATGGGGCCTGTGAACGGAGGTAATGGCCCCGTTGCTGTGACCGTCACTGCTGGTGTCGAACCAGCAGTTGTCGCTTCACTTACGGTCGAGATAACCGTTGCTCCCACATTCGTTTGTGGGATTTCATTATTGTTTGGCGGATTCGCCATCTCTTCCCTTCTTCTGGCAGTATTGTTATCGTTAGTGTATATTCTACCACTTCTCAATAACATACAACGCTCCTCGAAAAGATGAGATTATTTTCAACAATCAACACACGGTCCCACCAGGTGTGCCAATTTGTTTACCGTGGTTATTGGTAAACAACCGCTGATCCTCCAAATGGTTACTTATTTGGTTACTCGCAGGATCGATCAGATTGATCCTAGGACATAGGTTGATTTTGAAGTTTTGATTAAATTGGATATTGGTTAAGTGACAATAAAATAAAGAGGCTTTAAGTAAATTGCATGAAGAAGTAGGCTTGGTAAAATAAATGAAGGCTTAATAGTAAAGGATTTCGACAGGAAAGTAAAGAAGAAAGCAAGTAAATTTCTGGAAAAAGTAAATGACTTTGATTAATAAAGTTGGTGTTTCACACATACATTTCTCAACAATTCTTTCTCACACGCTGGGTACTCGAATCTATATGAGTGACTTTGTATATAATTGTGAACACATGCGAGAAACTGCGTGACTACTACTATTTATACTAAAACATCCCAAGTAATCGTCGGGCAGTTACACTGCTTCGAGATGATTCCACTTGGCACGTTCTCAACGTTCGACGCTCCAGATCTTTGCGCGTTGCACTTGGTAACCGCTGGAAACCGTTTTCCCTCCAAACGCTTGAATTTCAAACCGTTCCACTCTGAACCATCGAACACCTTCGTCGAGAAGCATCTTCGACGAGAAACACCTTCGACGTCGAAGGCAACCAACTTCTCCCTTGGAAGAAATCTTCTAAGTACATTGCCATCTTTCGATGGGCATTTCGACAGACTCAGCTGATCGAAAACAACCTTCAGCTTTAATGGCTGATATTAATGAAACAAGGGTGTCGAATTTAAGAGCCAACACACGCTACATGAGTCGATGCGTTCCCCCTTTATATCGACTCATACTGAGTCTGAAACACTGCATGTATTGGCACATGCTCCTATGTATCGACTCATCCTGAGTCTAAAAACCTTCATGTATCGATGCATGACTCTTTCGTATCGACTCATCCTGAGTCTAAAAGCCTTCATGCATCGATGCATGGCCTTTGGGGTCGACACATACTGTTCTGTCACGGATATTTTCTGCGATTTCAGTATGTTTTCACTATGGTTTCCATACTTTAGGCCCTAAAAACATCCTCTAATCATAGGTAAACATCAACGATAATTATCCCATAATTCTACATCAAATATACAACATTAGGGCATCGCTATTTATCCTTAAATCATCGATTTTCATCATACAACAAGATATACATTCAAATCATGAACAAGACAACATTTTCACATCTAATCCCATAAACCAATCATCATAAACCCTACTATAGAGTCATAACCCCACCCTTACCTTGGATTGAAGGTTGCTCTACAACTTTTCCAGTTGAATTTCGTTCTGTCTCTCTTCCTTCTTTTCTGCAACTTTCACGTTCTTTCTCTTCTTCTAAACCTTATTCCTTCTCTCTTACTGCTTCTTCCTTTCTTATTATTTCTAGCAATAATAAAATAATCCTATAATTCTCTTTATGCCATAATGGGCTTATAACTCATACACCCCCTTTTCTACTACTTCTATTCCTTTAAAACATGCACACATCAAATAATATCATCATTCTAATATTATCCATAACTTAATAAAATAAATAAATCCAACTAATCACAACACATAAATTATTATCATAACACAACTTCATAAATATTCCAAAAATAATTTAATTAAATAATTAATTAAATTACGAGCATTACAATTAGCACTTCAACGACGAAGCCAAATTAGGCTTCAAGATAATCATAGTGAAAGTAGAAATTAGAGATCGCGTACCTATAAATCCTCTGTGAAAGTATTTATACCTTAGACCCAATGAAGCAAATATGATAATAGAGCCTTATCTTATTAGGCCTTTGGCCAACGTGGAACATAGTAAATGTTTTTTGGATTTATTTAAGACTTATTTGTTTCATTATCAAACATTTTCTTTTTTGGATAAGTTTATCAAATTAATTTGTCGTAACTTACAGTAAAATTTCCTTTTCAAGCTTTCTTGATGTTAAGCTTTGAGATACCTTTTAGGAAATATGTCCCATCATATTTATGGATAGGACTTTAGTTTAACTAGCCCTACATCAAAAGGAAATACAACAACATATTTTTTTCATGAATTTGTTGGATTTAAGTGGCTGAAGGACAAATCTCTCTTAAAGTTTGAGGATTCTCAGTGGCTTCTTCCATGGGTGATCATTATCTCAATATATCCCTAAGGGACGATGATACTACAATTGAAAGCTTGTAGGCCGGACCCCTTACATAGCCATAACTTCTCCCTTCCAGTCCAAGATTTTTAAAGAGCTCCACATACATAATGTCACATGAACTTCTCCGGTCAATAAGGATTTTGGATACGTAAAATCTTTCTATGGTTGTTGTTATTTCTAAACGATTTTTTTATTTGAGCTTCCGCCAACTTTTTCACTATTTCAGAACCTAATAATAGGTTTATCTCGTTTTCCTTCAAAATCTTCTCTCTCTTTCTTGCTAATCGTCATTAGATTGACGATTCTCCGTTTTACAATGGCTTTGGAGGGGTTCATTCGTCAACGTAGGCTTCTAGTGATAGATTCAATATACTGACATTATCCTTTCTGGTATTCCTCCTCACTGTCACTGTTGCCTTTCTTCCCTTAAGCCCCGCTGATGACCTCTATAGTTTTCTTTGAGGACCTTTTTCCCTAGCGGAAGAATCATTTTTCCTTGGGGATTCATCTCACCTCATATAGTCTTTCCTTTTATCTTGATCATCCTTTTGTCCACCCTCTTGAGTGTACCAAGTAAGTTTCCCCTACTTGATAAACTCCTTAATCATATTCTTTAGGTGGGTGCATTCATCAATGTTATGACTGCAACTTTTGTGCAAACAACAGTAATTTGATTTATACATCCTAGTTGACTCCTTAACTATTACATTCAGATCCAAAATTTGAGCAGAAATTGAATTGAAAATATTTTGATGAGTTTATAAGTAAGACCACTGAAAGTTGCAATCTATAAATACCATTAACGTGAGATGTCATCTTGCACTGCAACCAAAAATAAGCATTGCAATTCAATTACTAATGTTGATTTTGCTTCAATAAGCGTGAGACCCTAATCCCGTTTCCAATATATATGTTGCATCATCTAACACACAATTTTATGGTTAAAGCCGAAACAAACTGATCATTTATGGGTTTAGTTGAACTTGGTTCGCGGGTTATGTTTCAAATAAAAATAAATATTTTTTTGATATTTTTTAAATTGTAAAAAAAGTAACAATTCAATATAATTTTACACATTTTTAAAACCCGAATGAGATGAAACACATCATATCATATGATGTTTAATAAAATTCATTCATATGCTATAAGTTTTAATAATAGTAGAAAATTTCACAAAACACACTATTTTCATAAAATACGACACAAAAGAAAATAAAAGCAACCTTTAATTTTAAAATTACGTAAACTCATTGATTTAATGAAGGTGAATACATAAATTAGTAAACTTGTAGTTTGAAGTGATATATAAATTTTGTATTTTTATTTTAAATAATAATAAAAAAAATTCATTAATTTTACATCAACAAGTTGAGTCAGCGAATCCATTGATTGAGAAACTCAAATCTGATATCAGAATCAAAACTATACAAATTATTGCAAGTTGAATTGTGTACATCAATAAATAAATTTATTTAAATAATTTATAAATTGATTTAATTTGAATCAACAAATTCATAGATAAATCCAAATCATGAACACCTCGAACCTCAGAGAAAAAATTAAAGCCATGTAAATTTTTTCAAGAATAATAATAATTAATAAATAAATTTTAAAAAAATATATACTTAATTATAAAAATGACTTCCTAATAAAATTACTGAATGGATGAAACTAGTTTATACTAGTTGGCTCATTAAACATTAATAAGAAAAATAGATTTATTAAATTAATTTAACAAAACATTTATCATATATTTTAAAATGATTGTCATTCAAAATTTTTATATATAAATTAAAGAATATAATAATATTGTTATAAAATATTTTATTTTTATAAAATTAATTTTATTAATATATTAAAAATAATATCCAAAGCAAAAAGTAAATTATATAATTAAAAGAATAATAATTATTATTAAATTGAAAAATAAAAACGACAATATTTTAAAATAAATTTTATTCATTAAAACTCCTATCATTTCGAAACAGAGAGGGAGTATTATTATAAAACTAAGTGCATCAAAGTCATATGTCGAAAAACTCGCGAAACCCTAAACCCAACAAAACCCTCCACGACCAACATCGTTCTTACCACCGCCACTACACGACGCTCTACAACACCTACCGTCATCGTTTAGCAACACGATAATTGTCTTTTCTCACACAAGAAATTGATTGAAAAGAAAGGCGTTGTAGAGGATCTACGTGCTTTTCCCCTTTTCCGTTTTAATGTTTTCTTTGTTTTTCAATTCGACACTTAGATCCAAATGTTGTTTCAGGTTTAACTCAGATCTAGTTTTGCTCTGAGGCTATTAAAGAGAAGGATCATATCAGCGAAAACTTTACCTCCTGCACGGTGACGACTCGGCTGTCCCTTTGTGAGTCTTCTAGACACTTCTATTCTCATCCATTTGTGTGATATTATGTGAGTTTCTTTTTCTCCCTCAGCGTTTGTAATGGATTTTAAGCATAAATAATTTTATTTTTGTGTAGTTGTTGATTGTTTATCTTTCTATTTTTCATTTTTAACATCTTTGCAACTGGCCAATCGTGCTTTCTTGTATTTTGAGTCTAAAGAGGATGTTTTCTTGGTTTCGTTTAAATCGATCAACATGTGCAGAACATTGACACTAACTTCTGGTGTGCAATATAATCCAACTAGGCATTTTCTATGTGGTAATCTGGCTTAAAACTATTTATAGGGCTTGCCCAAGTACTTTATATTGCCTTGTTTGCCATATCTCTAAAATAACGTGGGAACTAAATTCACCTCTTCAAACTCAACACAGTATAGGTGTTGATGCTTGCAACAAAGGCAAGCCAAATGCCTTAATTAGGCGATTAAGGGCGGACCACAATGAAGGTGGAAATTCCAAAGAGAATCATCTTTCCATTGTTCTTTAATCATCTTAGCTTTTATTGGTGGTAATTTGTGACAGCTTTGTTGTGTGACACTTTGTGGAAAACGAATTTGTGTGTGGCTACCCTGAGTACTCGAGTACCTTGAACAATCTTAGATGAAATCTTGACCGTTGGTATGTGTTTCACCTTCATAGTGTAATGGATCGTACGGTCCCCCGTGGATGTGGTTCGTGAAGTATTGTTTTTCTTTTTATGTCGCTCATAAACTGCAAAAGCTCTTCTTCTTTTGTAAAGAAACCATTAGATAATAAATATTCAAAACATTCATCTCCTATGTCTTCCGGTCTATCCAAAACAACAGAAAATTTCATCATCGAATCTATCCAAAACAATAGAAAATTTCTTCTATTTTAATTTGTGCTTTGAGCCGAACTTGGACTCCGTTGAATTATACGATTAGATCGACACAAAGTGAATGTCTCTTTGTTAGAATATTAGAAGTTGGGGAAATAGATGTCCATGATTCATTGTACAAGATCTGAGTAAGAGTGACCTTACCAATACCTTTCATTTCAGCCATAGCGACCACAAAAAACACATCTCCATTGTAGTAGTTTTATAACAAAAAAAAGTTAACAATTTTCTTTATATATTCATTTATGCCGAACACTCGACTTTCATCTACTAGAGAAGTTGTTGTTCAAGTAACTGCCTTCTTTAAGTCCTAAAATAAAGCTATGGATCTCAACTTCTGAACTATCTCTTTTAACTCTTGATTGTAGTCATTTTGAAAACGGATTGAGAGACAACGTAAAAGGGATTTTGACTACCCTCAAGAGTTGAAGAAGAGATAATGGACAAGTTGAGATCCACATTCGATGCCAAAGAGATATTATGCCTTAGGACAATTAATTCTCCTCATTTACGTGGCCGTGGTTGTTATTGTTGGGATAAGAGGTATTGACAAGACCACTCTTGCTCGGATCTTGTACAATGATGTCTGAGGGACCCGCCATTTTAATTTAAGATTGTGGGTAAATGTTTTCCAACTTCTAAATATACATGAAATAACCAAACAAGCCCTAGAGTCATATGATGTCCGAGTGACCCGCCATTTTAATTCAAGATTGTGGGTAATTGTTTTCCAACTTCTAAATATGCATGAAATAACCAAACAAGCCTTAGAGTCATTTAATTTATGTTCTAGTGTAATGGAATTTAAGGGATTCTAAATCCAGTTCAAGCGTATTTGGATGGATGGATTCAAAAATGAAAGTTATGTTGATTAGAATATTCTTCAAAAAGTAATTTCTATCCTCCACTAATAGAAGTAAAATAATTGTCACGACACGCAACAAAGATGTAACTCATTCCCTTCCATTTCTTCGATAACCATATGGAGTCTCCTGCGTTTAAGTGAAGATATTGAGTAGTGAGAAAAAAATCATATAACAGTATCGTCGGAGATTTAGCAAAAGGTAGGGACATTTTTGAGTTAATATCAAGCTACATCCGTCTCTGAAGAGATGCTTTTATTTTGCTCCATATTTATTTTATTGGTTATAATATATAAGATAAAAAGAGCTTAATATATTTATAGATGACAAAAAGTCTTTTCATGAGGCTGTTGAATTTGTTGCAGGCGAGTTCTGTTACAAGTTGTACGATTGTAATCCAAGCATACTCGAGGCGAGTTCTGTTACAAGTTGTACGATTGTAATCCAAGCATACTCGCAATGAGTTGTGTGCGCCATGTAGTTCCATTTAAGTCCTCACATGCTAATGTGCTTGCAGTTTTTAACTTATTTACATGCTTATTTACAGGCTTTTTATTTATAGGCTTATTATCAAAACAAGTGTTTGCAATATTTTCATTAGCACAATATTTAATCACCGAATTGGCTTGTGCAGTTGATCAACTAATCCATTTGAGGTATTTGGATATTTCTGAGACTACCATTGCGACTTTACCTGATTCTATTTGCCGATTGTATAACTTACAAACTTTACTATTGGTAGAATGTATCAAACTTAATTTGTTACATTGAGAACATTCAAGCTTGTCAATTTACGTCAATTATATCATCTAATTGACATTTGGATCTTACTGATGGTGGTGCTGTGAGAAGAATGCTTACAAATTTTGGTCGATTAAAGTCTATACAGTTGTTGCCGTATATTATAATTGGCGAGGATGGAAAATCAAGTTTTAGTGAGCTGTTGGAGCTTCGCGGAACACTTTCTATTGTGAATTTGCAAATTCATTTCTTATGAATATTAGATTGATTCTGCCGACTGACCCCAATATAGTTGATTGAGAAGATATTTTATGTCTTTATGTAACTGACAAGTTCAAGAATTATCCATGGTGAATAAACAGATTTTTGATTCGATTGTTTTACTTTTAAAATATAGATTTATTTTTGTTTTTTCAAAAATAGTTTTTTAAAAGAAAATTTTAATATACGAGAAGTTTTTCTTATTTATTTTTATAAATTAAAAGATTAATTTTGATATTCAATAACATAAATATATGTTAATATATATTATTAAAAATTAAAATAGTAAAATTCACAACTTTAAAAAAACAATTTCAAAAATTATTTTTTTTATCAAAATTTATTGAAAATAAATTTAAGTTTAATTTATTTTTTAAAATACTGATATTTAATTAATTTTTTATATTTAAAATGTTTTTATAACTTTTTAAAACAAAAATATGTAAATCATTTAATAAAATCATTTAACAAAAATATTCCAGGTCATTGTTATAAGAGAAAATAGTTGGTGCCTTGAAAGTGTAAATTGTCAATTAATGATATTTGTTAAGTTAAATTGAAAATTTTAAATTATTTGTATGACTTGGCATTTAAAAATATTTTGATTGGTTATTTATGTAATAATTCTTTACATTGATTGGACACTACTTTTAAACTCTTATTATGATTCAATGTGCAACTTTATGTGTAATTTTAATTCAGTGTATCAGTTTAATATGATTTATTTTATTCAACATATCATTAATTGTAGTAATGTAATTTTGGGCATTACTAATAAATGAATATATTAGATTACTAAAAGTTGTTACTAAAAATTATTATTATGTTGGTCTTGGAGGTACAAAGGGCCTTCTCACATCAAATTTTTGTAGCTTGTTAGTTCCTCTTGCCTTCTCTTTTGTGTCTTTCTTTGGTACTGACTTGTAGTGGTTTGAGATGTAGAAATTTGTCTTTTCCCAATCTGATATACATTGGTCCCAATCTGATTTGCATTGCCTTGACTTGCATTGCCTTGTGTTGCATTGCCTTGAGTTGCAGTGTCTTGTATTGCAGTGTATTGTAGTGCCTTGTGTTTCAGTTGGTGTGACTTTGCAGGTCTTCTTGTTATGTTCAATTTTCTTGCACTTAGAGCACTTTACAATAAATTATCATAACTAACAGTAAATTATCAAGAAAATAATTAGATAAATGTAAGAGTCAATGATGTATTTAGTGTACCTTCTGTTGGTCTGAAATAAAAGTGTATGAGAGATATTCATGTCCACCTCCAAGATCATCAATCAATAGCTTTAAAAATCATGTCCAACTATCTCTATTTTCACCTTTATAGGCACCTTCAAAAATAATGACAAATTAGATACCAAACCTCCTTCATAGACACTAAGTTCTGGATCAACGAATTCACTACTGTGGTGAATTACGAGTTTCAGAAATTTGTTCATTAAACCTAAATCTTATAACAAACATTCAGTTACGAAGACACATAGAATAAACAAGAATAAGATACATAAATCTCTAAATCCCAGAATAAACAATGAATGGAATACCTAAATCCATAAGTACCAGAACAAACAAAAATAGAATATCTAAATCCTAAAATCACAGAACAAACATTCATAATCTCTAAATTGCATCATACGAAGTCCTAATCCAGTTATCCACGAGTATGAGAATAGTTATCTGAAACGCAATTACCTTCTCAAGCACCTTCGCAAGTCCCTTCAAAATTGCCTCTGCAGATTCTCGTTTTTCACATTTCTTTTGGTTTTGGTTTTGGACTTGGATAAAATGAACGTGTATATCCTTTCATTTGCTTTTGGAGATTGTCTTTCCTTATTCTTTGCCATGTTGTCTCTAGCCAGCCACTTCAGCAAGACAAATGTCACCTGAAACTTGTTTTTTGAATTTGACTAACGTTTCACTAACATAAGGACTAACGTGGTTACATTTTGAAATTTAAGGGATTAATTTGGCACGAAAAAAAGTTAAGGGATCAAACTGAATTATAACCTATAATTAAGAGACCAAAATGAATATTTTACCTATACGTAAAATATGATTTTAATTGGTTTTAATGTAATTAACAAATTACATTTTTTTTAGTTTGTCATGTCTATAATTATCTTAATTTATGTTCACAAGCTAACAAAATATTACTTAATGATAACAACACATTTCATTTATCTCACTAGATTAAATTATAAGAAATTTAAGTGTTCTAGAAAATACTTAAGTGCTTTAAAGTGAGAGTATTTTGTGTTAAAAAAAAATATTCCTTTGACTAAATGTCCTTTTCTATCCGCTTCTAACTATTGTTGCACCATTTTGGTTGTGTTCCAACTTTTTACAACACTATTTACAACTGTATGTTAATTGCTTCAACTGAAATATAGTTAAATCAACTTTTTGGATTAACTGTTCAGGCTACTTCTTCTTACTACCTTTAGATTTTCTCTCTTTTCCATTATCTGATTCATTCATCTCTCTTCCATTCTCTTCTCTCTTCCTTTCTCTGCTCTATTCTTCTCTCACCATTGCATTCTTCTTCCTTTCTCCTCCCTAGCTTCAACTATATTCTGTTTCAATGACCCGACTTTTCGAGTGCATTAAAGATACCATGGAAAAAAAAGAGTTATGAAAAATAGTTTTGAAGGTTGTTCACAAATAGATGATCTTCTCCAACAACAAAGAACATATTGAATTTTTTTTTATCGACAAAGAAGTTGTTTGCAGATTTTTGTATTTCCTGTTTATTGTTAAAACGATTTTATTGATATGATTTTAAAACTTCGATGTGTTTCATTGTCGGGTACGGAGATTCAAGTAATAATCCATGAGTTTTATAAGGGGAACTTTGATTGTGTCTTAAATCCGAACAATACCTACACTATTTCCAACTTCCAAGTTCAAAAGAATGATTTGCTTTTCAAGACGTCCGACCATGGTTTTCTCCTAAAGTTTATCGATGGAACAAGAGTTTCAGACACTAACAAACATACTATTACTGAAGGCTCCATCAATTTCAAATCTTTTGCTGACATTATTTCATGAAACTGGAGGAAGGATAGGTTAATTGGTATGTAAGGATGCTGGTTATATGTTGGTAAAATATTTTAATTGAGTTTGCAGTACCTTTGTTTTACTCATTTTTTTAATTAATTTTTTCCTCACAAATGTTATTGGGTTGGTTCATGAGATTGGCTATACGCAAAGCCAATCTGGTTCTAAGAAATAAAAAGTTAATCTTATTATGAGGGATTCAAGGTGTCGCATGTCGTCGTCGAACTCAAGCAGAGATGAAACGAGATTGCGACGGTGATGATAAGGAAAGAGATGTAGCAGTAAACATTTGAAATTAAGTCATCAATTAACTTATCTCAACATAATGAAGTCACCACCGCACTTTATTATTTCCAAAGAGAAATGGGAAAAAAGCGAACAAAATCCATAATGAAATAAAAGGTTAGAAATCGAGGTACGGGTGTCGATTATGCAAAGAAAATGTGTTAGCTCCCTAAGCATCTATGGTATTTCGCAGGATCCACTTTGTTTGGTTTCTTTTAAAAGGAGTGTTATGTAAATGTTTACTTGCTAAAGGAAAAGAATAAATGTTTATTTGTAAACAAAAGAAAATGATTTTTTTAAATTATTTTTGTTGCTCGCCTTGGGTCGTAAGACTTAGTGCCTACATACTCCTTCGTGTAATGGGAAAGTCAGAGCACCATAGTTCGGCTAAAAAAGACTTGTATGTTGGTTTATTTTAAACGAAGAGATAAGTCGTCATTGTTAGGAGAGAAATCTCGATTAATGCCCATAAGGTATGAGAAAGATGGACCCTGCATCAGCAAGAGTGAGGGTTTGAGAACACCTCTAGTACTCAAGTGCAAAAGTCGACACCTTTATAACCATGAAGATATGAGAATGTTGCTCGACTATCAATGAATCATGTCTCATCTTGAAAAAAGTTTTGAAGGGGAAAGGTGCTCGAGCGCACAAAAGATTTTGAATGAGTTAAAGTGTTTTTGTTAATTTTGAAAGATGTCAAAGTATGATTAAATGAATTGCAGTTTGTTTAAAGAAAAAAAGTTTTAAAGAAAAAGGCACTCGACAAAAGTCGAGGTTTATTATGAAAGCGGTTCAAGTTTGTAAACAAAGAAGATTTTGAAAAAAGATGAGAAGGTTTTGAAAATTAAAGAAGATGGGAGGAGATGAAGGGACTATCCTAAAGCATTAGGTAAAAGCTAAGGAAGAGAACCGTCTAACAAACAAGAAGCCAACACTTGACATTATGAGTCAATATAGAATTCCCATTATTTGGATTGAAACCAAGCAAGGATACTAAATCCCTTGAGAAAACCAAGCTTTAATTGCATTAAGTCTTCACAAAAATTGGGCAGAGTAATGACTGTATACAAATGAATTCCAGATTATAGACAAAGTATATAATCACAATAACATGCATACAAAACAAACAATCCAATATCTTGAGGTGAACCCTAAGAACTCCAGAAAAAAATATCAATGGAGGTCACAAGGTCTCCAACATAAGCCAAGGTTTCTATTCCTGAGTCCAAGAAGTCCAATACTCCATAATATCAAGGATAGTAACCAAGTAGCCCAAGTATCATTAATATTTTTTATGGTTCATGTTGATTATTAAGTATCTTCAAAAGGAAAAGAAAAGCTCAAGTGAGCAAAATAAAAATGGCATAAAAGTAAACGCTCAAATGAGCAAAGATGAAAATAGCATGAAATG